GAGAGAGAGAGAGAGAGAGAGAGAGAGAGAGAGAGAGAGAGAGAGAGAGAGAGAGAGAGAGAGCATGCCCCGCCTGGATGCGCCGCCGGGTTCAAACAATGACAGCGAGGAGGGGGGGATGCAGTCGAGACTGTTGCTACCTGCAGATCGGCACTCGGATTGTAGTGATGACCCGCTGTCCGGCGTACACGTGATGGCGCATATGGAGAGCTTGGATTACGAGGTCGTGGAGAGCGCTGTTTACAAGGAGGATCAAGTGAGTAATGTCTATTTCTGCTTTGGAGGACGTAGGTTATTGGAGAGTGTTTATTCTCTGTGTCCTGTCGTCGGTTTTTGCCATCTTAGTTAAATCGATCAAAGCAACTCATCATTCCGCCTCCTTCCCTATGTTCTTCTCCCTGCCCATTTTCTCCGTCTCTTTTTTTTTTTTTTTTTTTTTTCGAAGCCGTGTCCAGGTCATTCGAAGTTACTTATTTCATATCTGATCCACCAGGATTTGAACTCAGGTCTGCATACGAACACTTGATTGGTATATCATCCAGCCACATGGTCTCGGTTCCCTGCCCATTTTCGTCTCTCTCCCCTCCCATCTTGGTCTTTCTCCCCATCTGCGTCTCTCTCCCGTCCCATCTTCTTCTCCCCTCCCCATCTTCTCCTTCCATCTGTTGCGTGATGATGGTTGCCTTGCGCTCGCATGCCCTTTGCCTCCGCCTCTCAATCTTCTCTTGTTGATTAATTGATTTGTGTGTTTTGTTTATTTGTTTGCTAATGTGCCTGTCTGTGCGCGATAGCTGGGACTGACATCGCACTGGCGAATGCCTGTGACGATAGACGTTTCATCCATCCAGGCCAGGCCGGGGGGAGTGCACCAGACGTGCTACCGTCTTCCCTCGAACACAACGCACCCTGATTACGAATGAATTCAAGCTACCTTTCCCGGTCCGATACAGTCAAGATGGGGTGCGTGGTGTTCGGGGGAAGCCGGTAGGCGGGATCATCCGCGAGTGGGAGATGCTGGCTTGAAGAAGGCTGTCAGGAAGGAAGGCGAAAGGGAAAGACGGTGAGAATATATATTCACCCTCGGCTCCCGAAAGCGCAAAGTAGCAGAATCAGCAGCGGATCGAGTCCTCCTTTTACAAGGAATCCATCTGGCAGCTGATGTCGCAATTTTGAGGACCCAGTATGAGTATGCCCTGAGGGGGGAAAACATTTCACATCCCACTTGTCGAGGTTTAGTTCTGGTTTCGAGCATACATGGCTCCCTGCCATCCGATCTGAAAATCTCATGGCCACAATGTTACCACGCTGAAAAGTACACGAAACATATACGAAACCCTTGCTAGTGGGACATGACCCCAGGAAATCGAAAACAGTTGTGTGTGCGCGAAATCGGTGGGACTGACATCGCATCTGCTAATGGCTGTGTGAGCTCAGGTGTCCCATCTAGGTGCGGGGGGAGGGGTGTGTATCAGATGGACTACCGGTAGGCGAGACCATGTGCGAGTGGTAGATGCTGCCTACCGGTAGGACAAGGTAGTAGGTGGCGTTTTTTTTTTTTTTTTTTTTTTTTTTTTTTTTTTTTTTTGGTTAATTAATGCAAATACTGGGAGTGTTCGGAAAATGAGGGGGTTTGTGGGGGTGGGGCCGATGAAAAAGCGATACTATATATGCGATTGGGAAAATACGGGGCCTCTGAAGAATAGTAAATACTGACAATGTTTGGAAAATGAGGGGGGTTGTGTGTGTGGGGGGGGTGGCCAAACAGCGATACTGTATATTATTATTATTATTATATGCAATTGGGAACAACGTGTGGCTGAAAGCTTCTTCTCGTCGACGGCGGCCTCTAAATAAAAGCACATACTGAAAACGTTGGGAAAATAAAGGGCCTTAACGAATAGCAAATACTGAAATTGTTGGGAGAAAAAGGGGGGTTTTGGGGGGGGGGGAGGAATTGGAACCCGACAGGAAACCCTCGAAAGTTTAAACAGAGGAGGAGGAGAAAAAGCTGGGCTCCTTATTCCTTTTTGCTGCGTAGGGGTCGCAATCCGGCCGTGGAGGGATGGCTGGTGATGACTTGGGTAGGACGAAGTCTGTCGCCGATTTCTCCCCCCCCCCCCCAAAAAGCGCAGAAACAACTTGTCAACCTGGACCTTGCTGTTTGGCCGCCGAAGATTTTTTTTTTTTTTTTTTTTTTTGTTGAAGAGATTTGCAACTTGGTGCGTGATATTTACTTAATTTTATTAAACGCAGAATAAATAAATATTGACGAAGATAAGAGCTTGGCGGTGGCGGCGGGGATACTGCTTTACTACTGAGACGCAGAAATTTTAATTGTTTTCGTACTTGTGTAAGCGTAAACAAACCATGTTAAAAAAAAAGGCCCCACTGCGAGATCTGCAAACTGAGGTTAAATCAGGTTTTATATACGAAAGGCGGAGCCCGGGTGGAGGCCAGGATAGCATATTAGTTTAGAGCATACTCACACTAGGACTATTTCGACTAAGTCCTGGACGTAATGGCGTTCAGATTCATCCAGGTTCAGACTGTAATTCCGGTTAGATACATCCAGGAGAGTCGAAGTGTGAGTATGCCCTTAGACGTTCTTAAATCAGTGGTAGGCAACCGACTTCAGTATTAATCCTTTTTAGTGAATTACTGTATTTTAGGGCATTCATTCGTATCTCTGTAAGTATATATGCACGTGCCACGTTACAAATATGCCGGTCTTGCTTTGTCTGGGCAATCAATCTCTCTCTCTCTCTCTCTCTCTCTCTCTCTCTCTCTCTCTCTCTCTCTCTCTCTCTGTGTCTCTATCTCTCTCTCTCCGCGCCGATGGCCCTACTATTCGTTCTTATCCTGCTGTAGGTTTTTGTTTCTGCATTTGCATAGATTCCCTGTGAATTGGGTTCATGATCATATAGAGCTCTTGAAAAAAAAGAAAAAGATCGTATGGAATTCTCGCCCTAAAAAAAAAAAAAGGATCGTAGAGAGTTCTTGGGGGGGGGGGAAATCAGAATACGATCATATGGAGTTCATTGTTATGGTAGGATGAGGTGGAGAGGGAGTAAGATTGTGAGGGAGAGAGGATCATAAAGGAGGGCTAGACGTGGCAATGGAGTGAATAGAATCAGTCGTCCTTGTGAAGATAGAGGATGGGGTAAAGAGGCAAGGGTTTCGACTGTGATTGGCGCAAGAGGGTGTTCCTGCTAAAGGGTCTTACCACGTCCTCTCTTTGTGTCTTCCCAATGTGACCCTCCGCTTGCACAGGAAAGGTCAGGGTTTCAACAATGGCATGAAAAGCCATTACTCCCTGGAAAAGGGGAAAAGAAGGATTGCCCAAAGTCGCAATAATTTCATCAAAAGCTCTTCCTTGCTGGAAAAGGGGAGAACAAGGATTGGCCAAAGTTCAGTTTTGTCCGAAGACTATCGACCCCACATATATGGATGTATGCATAAACATGTATGTATGTATGATGCCGCACTGTGATGAACGTCCTGCTGTGTTTTTGACATGTGGACAACATGTCCTCTGTCAGGACTGTTTTGATGGGATGGTTCGTGCTAGCCGTCCTGCTGAATGCTGTGCTGGCGCAGCTCTCCTTGGGCATCCTTGTGAACATCCACATCATCCTCACCGTAGCTGTCCTATCTGCCGAGGTGTGGACAGGTAAAGAAAAAAAGAAGAAAAGAAAAAGAGAAAAAAAGAAAAAAAGAGAAAAAAAGAAAAAAAGAAAAAAAGAAAAAAGAAAAGATATGTTGATCTGTGGGATGTGTTATTTGCTTTGTGACAATTGGATTATCTTTCTTTCCCTTTCAGGTTTGGTTTCCTCCTCTTCTTTACCTCTTTGCCTTTTGGCTGCGTGCAAGTGGGTCCTTGTGACACACGGGGATGGGGGCAGCCAGCGCTCAACCTGTCATCCACGTGGCTGGCCTTGTACGTAAGAGGTGATGAACAGGTGGGGCTTAACTTCCTTCCTTCCTTGTTTTGCCTTTTTCCGCCTTCCTGACTTTTTTTCTTTCCCTTCCTTGTTCTGCTTTCCCTTCCTTGTTTTGCTTTTTTCCGTCTTTGCGCTCCGATTCACAGTGTGACAATATATTATATACCGTAGGCAGAGAGGGAGAAGAGGACAAACGAAGGGGGGCTGTGACGGACTGCTTCGTCGGAATTGTCACTGACTCATCAGGAGGTTGAACCCTCTATAGTCTGCAGAATCGCCTAACAGATTACACTGTCAGTGATAATCCACCTTAACCCCGGTTGTGGTTAAGCATCAACGACTACCCGACAACTGATACCCCTCAGAGGAGGTGGGGACCACCGACCACTGTCCACAAGGTACCTGTGACGAAAATCAAAGTAGACTATCACTCACTCACACCAGATGGAAAACTCTACAGACTGCAAGTTCATACCCCATCAGAAACCAGTAAAACACCAACGAAACAAAGAAAATACACTCCACACACGCCGCTGGCACTATATATATACATAGATATATTATATATACAAATTTATTCTATATATATACAAATATCAGCCTCCTGATGAGAAGGTGAAACTCCAACGAAACAGTGTCACGATCCCTCGTTTTTGTCCTCCTCTCCCTCTCTGCCTACGGTTTACCGGGCACGTCTGTTTGAAGATATATGTGTACATACATAATTGTTTTCATGTTTATATGTGTACATGTTTGTACGTGTAGATGTAAGTGGGTCCTTGTGACACACGGGGATGGGGGCAGCCAGCGCTCAAACTGTCAAGCCACCTTGACAGTCCTACGTATTCTCGGCCTGCTGAATCAGTGGCTGACATTCTGAATAGCCATGCAGTTTGGAACAATCATTGGAATTATCCTCATGCTGACACATTGCCGTATCTCTATTGTGTTCTTAAGGCCCATAAATCTCCTCCCACACTTCGTCCTATTCTTGGTATCACTGCCCGAAACAATCTTTCTTCTTCCTCTTCCCA